CGCGGCCCCTCTGAGCCCCGCGGGAGCCGGGAAGGCCCGCGCCGCCTGCACTCGCCTCCAGCTGTTGGAAGCCTTGTCCTGCCCGCTAGAAGGAACCGCTCTTCCGTAGCGCCTCGTTCGGTTTGTACAGCCGCCTAGAGATGAACGCCAAGACCGCCATAGACCGAATTATTGGCAAGGGGGGGCTGAAGCTGGGCAGCTCCAGAGCTGACGGAGGGCTCGAGAAGGGGAAGCGGGAGGGCGCTGCCCCGCGGAGGTCCATGGAGGAGGTGGCCACGGGCAAAGGCAGAACGACGGAGCCGGAGAGGAGCGAGCTCCTGCAGGTGAGCCGGGCTCTCCCCGAGCCAGCGCGGGCCGCGTCCCACGGGTACGGCACTCGGCAGCAGGAGCCTCACCTTTCCTCTCAAAACTTTTGATGTCACAACTGGTTTAGTAGTGTTAGTCCAGACAAACTTTTAGTTTCACACTTTCATTCTCAGGTATTTTTCAATGACAGCTGAGCTAATGAAATCATACTCATCTGACAAGGCTGGTAAATACAAAGACATGAGGCCACACGTGCCAGTTAGTCCATTAAGACTTGTCCTCATGTGTCCAATGGAACACGTCTCAGAGAAGGCTTTTAAGCACTTCCTGCAAAGAGCTTAACGTTTGATAACATTTGATTAAGAACATGCCAAAAATCGCAGAGTGTTTGTTTGAATTGAATTGTCAAGCTCCCACTCAGCTATAGGTAAATGAAACTGTAATTAGGTCATTACATTATTCTTCCATTGCATCTAAAGAGCAGAAACTAAGACACTGAAAGGTACAGAAGCATCTGTATATCTGTATGACTGTATCACTCGAGGTAAACCTGTGGTTGCAGAGAGAGAATTTCAAGACTTATTAGGTGACCTGGTCAGGCTTCCCAGAAGGACAGGGAAACTTTAGATGGACTCTAGAAAAGGATACAACTCATGTGGACTAGGCATATTAATATTTCTAGGCCACTCTTTTTATGAAAGGGCTGTGCCATGTGTCTGTGCCACAACGTCAGTTGAGAAGTCCTAAGCCAAGGATGAGCTATGGCTGGGCAGCTCATGCACAGCTCTGGCTAGATTCCTCTGTGTATTTGCTGATTCTCTTGGTGTTTGCTGTCGGCTCAGTGTTGGTTGCTTAATACTGGTTTCCTATAAACTAGGAAAAACAGGTGCAAAATCACCATCGTGTTAGATACACCAGATAGTCTTTGGTGTCACTATTTTAATTTCAGTGAGTGGTGGTGTTCAACCACTCCCTAATTGAGGCTCTCTGAAAATCACTTCTTTCAGTTTTTCTTTCTAATAACTTGATGTCAACATGCAAGATTTCAACATGAGCCTTTCTCAGCAGAATTAAATGCTATCACATCTGATGTCCATGCAGAGCCCCATGGCATCTTAAATGCAGTACCAATTGTGTGTAATGAATACCTGTGCTGGAGGCCTACTGGAAAAAGAGTGCATGTTGAAAATATCTGCTAAAACACATTTTGAAATTACAGGGCCAGATAACATGGAAAACAGGATGCTTCTCCCGAATGCTTTATTATAACTCTTCTGTAACTCACTATCATGAGATTTGCAAGAAGGCTCTTGCAACCGAATATGGTAAGAAATAAACTAAGAAAGGTAGCACCAACCTCTTTGCTGGAAGTGTTTTGGAGTTCTTGTACTGCTTTTGTTTTAGGGTCATATACTGTAGTGATCTTTATTCAAAACTGAGTACATACCAAGCCTGTGAAACTTGGTTCTTTGCATTCTCTCCTTGTTTTGAGAATTTCAGACTGGTTTTACTATCACTTGATAGATTTCAGATGATCACTTCAGTATTGTCTTCTTTGAGTTATAAGTAATTTTCTCAGCTAATTAAAGGCTAAGAGAACTTTGAAAGTGAGATATTCTTAGAATCATAAGGTCATAGAATGGGATGGGTAGGAAGAGACCTTAAAGATCACCTAGTTCTAACACCTTCCACTAGACCCTGCTGCTCAGATAATCTCAAAGTACTTGCTAATGCATTTGATGCATAGACTAACACACTTTTTTATTCTGTTTCATTTAGAAAATACTTTTGCTTGAGAAAGAAAAAGAAAAATACAACCATCTGCTTGGAGAAAAGGACAGAGAAATCCAAAACCTGAAAGACAAGCTTATGTCCAAAACCAAGACCAGTGAAGTGTCCTTCCTACAAAATCAACTAGAGGAAAAAACAAAGGAAGCAGAAAGAAGAGAACAGTTACTTTGTTCTCTATCAGAAGAAATTAATAGGTTAAAATGTAATTTATCTGCAGTCATGGCAAAATGCTCCAATCTTGAGAACGAAGCCAGTGGTACTTTTCAGGTAAGGACTGAAGAAATATTGCAATTGCAAATTGGATTTTGTGCCCACTAAGCACCAATACCTGCTATAAAACTGAATATTTTAAAAATTTTCTTACAAGCTGTGTTGCATGCTGAAATATTCTTGTATGAAGCGAGATGGTATCCAGATCGAGCTCTAAATGAGGAACAGTCAGAGTGCACACTTCAGGCAGCACACTGGGGAGGGAATTCTCTCCTGCTGTCCTCAAGGTCCCTAGTTGAAGGTCACACACAGGTAGTGTGACCTGTGATGCTGCTGGGATGCTCCACTGCTGCTCAGGCAGGCACTGTGCCATCTCAGAGCTGTGTGCTCTGTGAGAAGGCAGCAGTGCTGAGAGACATGGGGCACTAAGAAAGACAAACTAAGCTCCTCACCCAATTCAGCTTCAGTCATGAGAATATCTTTCTTCTCTCTGCTCTTATGAACCCTCATTTGTGTCTCAGTTGTTAAAACTAATTGTCTTTACTTTCTATGGCATCGCACATGGTAAATTCTTCAATGTGGCAGAGGACAGGAATAATGAGTTTCTCCTCTCATTATGAAGTGGTCAATAGATATGGTGCCAACCCTAGGCAGGGTTCAAAAGTCCTTTTAGGATTCTACAGTTGTTTCTCCACCCCTGCTCTGTTCTAATAATCTTTGGAAAATGCATTAGTAACTCCATGAGGAGTACAGGGAAGTTGTTTACGTACAGGTGCCTAAAAGTAGGTGGCTGCAAGTCTTTCTTTTCCAGGTTTTGACCTGCAGATGGTGCTGGTTCCCTCCATAGGGAGTTGAGCAATTTCTAGAAATTCTGCTATAGCTAAAAACATAACAGAATATCTCCATCTTCTACTTTTGAATGGTAACACATGTATAGATAGTTACTTCCAATAATGCAGTTTATTGAGAAATACCACTTTAAATGCAACGTATTTATTTTAAATTTTAAGACACTTTGAACTTCATTAGTGGTGTTAAAGTGTGTATTAAGTCAACAGGTTTTCATGATATTTTTGTCTTTAAACCATCAAAATACGTATTACTTTAAAACCATAGTTTTCTTTTAAAATTGTAACTGATTTATATAGAGAGGACAGTGATGTTTACTGGATGTCTTGGAGAACTTGAAAACAAGTCTAGCAATGCTGCTTGAAACTGCTAGGTGGCACACTAGCTCTGAAATGGAAACAACAGTTGTATAACACAATTTTGAGAAAGTTTTTACTGAGGCAGGATTCTGATGTTCATAGAAACAAGCTCAGTGTCTCTAAATCCTATTTTTATTAGGAAGTGTTTAAGTTTAATAATTGCATTCAAAGTTCTGTATTTTTCAGCTATAAATTCTGTTGTAAATCATGTTCCAAGATCCATAGAAAAATGTTGGAAGAAATGTAGTTTGGATTTGGGAAGTAATGTACAATTTTTTTCTCACTGAAGTTCCCTCTGACATATACCTACACAATTTCATAATCACTTTGTATCCTGCAGAGAAGTTACATGTCAGAATGGGAGAAACATGGCTGTAACTGCTCTCCAGTTTTAGATGGCTCTCAAGAAGTCTCCTACTCATTTGTGTACATAAGTCATAGTCACTGTACTGGGGTCAGGCTCAGAAAATCAGGCACTTTGTCCTTGTGCCTGCAGACAGGCCTTCACAATTTCCCAGATGTTCACAGTCTTCCTGTTATCCCAGAGAAGCATCAAGGTCTCTGGCTTCCCCCAACTCCTCCTGTATGTCTGGATCATTGTCAAATGTATGAGGATACAAAAACAGAAAAAAATATTTACTTCTTCTTGTGTACATAAATAATACCCTTAAATATCTTCATTTTTCAAAACCTTTTTGCAGAACACCCTTCAGGACTTCCAAGACAGCAGTTCAGCAAAAAATATATTATGGTTTCCTTAGGAAATGTTTTAATGTAACTATGAATTGCATAAATTGCAATTTATGGAATAAATTTCACGTAAATCTTTATCACATATTTTGCAGAAGAGTCTATTTTAAATATCTGAAATGGCTTTCTACATAACTTGGATCCTTCAAAAAACCCAGCAACTAACTATAAAGTTCTTTAAACACAAAAGGCACATCTGTTTTAATTTTTAAATGCATCTGATTTAATTTTTAAGATATCCTTATGCTATTTATGTGAGATTGATAGCTGTGCAGGAGTAGCTTTGCTGTTTCAGCCATTTGTTTTAAACAACACTGACAAGTTGTTCTTTGTCCGCAGGAAGCGACAAACAGCACAGAAATTGAAAGACAATTGAAAGATGTAAGTTTCCTGTAAATTTCAACCATCTGTATTGAGATGCAGAAGCATGTAAATTATCATCATGTACATTTTGGGGTAGTATGGGACCTCAGAGGGTATGTTTCTGTCTAAAATATAATTACTAAAATGATTTTGTCAGAAGGCACTAATTTAAATTTAAAATCCAAAAAACTTGCAAAAGAAAAAATTAACATTTTCCATCATCTTTGAAAGACCTTGTTTAGAACATCAGAACCAAGTGGTTGCTGACAACTCGGAAGCCTCTGGGAACCTGGCATTGCTTGGGATAGCGTGTGGTTGGATTAGAAACCTCCTAAGGTCCCTTCCAAACTGAATAAGTCAATGAGCCAAGCAGCTAAAAAATCCATGTCCTTGTTCTTAAAAATTAAATTGCAATGATACAGTTACATTTTATTCCATTTTCAAGGTCTGTTATTTTATATTTGAGAGTGAAAAGTCAATTCTTCATAATCTAGGCATGACTCATAAAAGCCTTTGTTCTTTAAGTAATTTTCCCATTGCTGCAGTTTTAACTTACGCTCAGCATCCTGAATTAACTTTCCAAATGAAGATGGATTTATTTTTTGTATAGATTACAGTTTGCAGCAGATTTATCTAGCATATCTTTAATAATTTCTAATATTTTGAAGACATAAGACAAATACTTTTAAAAGCTGACTAATTACCAGAGACTTTTTTGTTGTTCTTATGTTTCTTTTTATGAAGGCTCTTGAGAAAAATCAGCAGTGGCTCCTGTATGACCAGCAACGGGAAGCATATGTCAGGGGACTGCTTGGAAGGATCTTTGAACTTGAACAGAAGGCAGAAATCGTTAGCCAGCAGGAATCTAAATCAAATTCAGAAGGTATCAACTTCATTTTTACTCCCACATGTGACCCAAACCATAATTATCAATGGAATTAAATTTTCTGAAAACAAATTCTAGCACACTTAAAATCAAGGCTTTGTTCTCAATGCTTTGGCTTCTTAATGGTAAAACTTGGTTAAATAATATTCCTCTGCTTCCTGTTATCTATCTATGTTACTTGACCAAGAGTACTTCCTGTTCTTATCCACTTCAAAGATGGTTTTAACAGCCTTGACACTCTATTAGCAACCTCTTTATTTGTGGAAAGTGTTGAGGCAAATAGATGTACATCTCCCATCCTTCAAAGTACACTTTCAGTAGACATAATGGAAGCATTAAGGATTTATTAGCTAGGTGTGGATCAGATTTTTTTAAATTTACTTTTTTCAAAATAAATATTATAAAAATGACTCAAGATTGCCATGTTCTTTACTCAGCTGAACAGTTGTTACAGGGCAAGAAAACCTGTGATAGGTTTTGGCACCTCTCCAGAGCAGTGTTTCACAATAAAGATCTGGCCACCTCCAGCTCACTTCCTTGCTGTGCAGTTCCTCAATACGGCACACCTCTCAGAATTAATAAAATTAAATTCATATTAAGCAGAAGAACCAGAAGGCATTGACTTGCTTTTCTTATTACCAAATTATTGATTTCATACATTCTGTAACTGACCTGCAAGGTAAATTCACTAAACAGAGCAAACATTGTGTGGAGTAAGAGCATACCCACAGATTTGCCATGAGTAATTCATGGGCAGTGGCTTGGTTTCTGTATTGCTGCTTGACTCTTTCTGGAAAACACTGAAATATCATCACAAGCTTGTTTTGGTGCTGTTCAGAAATCTATGAACAGTATTTTTAGAGACTCAACTCACCAGAAAATGTTGCACAGAGTTACTGCAGTCAAAGCTTTGCCACAAGAGCAACCAGGAGACTTAAAGTCAGGGTGTAACAAGTTCCTCTCTTCAAACAGCTAGGCAGTAGCAGAAATCCAAGTTTCTAAGAACCTAGCTATACAAGTTGAAAATATATATAAAAAAAACTTTTTCTGGGAAAAACTCAGTCTTTCTCTGAGGATGTCACTGCCCTATAAAAATTGGCTAATGACAAGATAGGGCTTAGTTCATAGTGAGAGAAGGGAGAACATTGAAGCAGGAAACTCTCCCTAGTAAACTACACTTTGAATAATTAGGGTAAGTCTTCAATAGGAAAATTATCGCAGTAACAAAACTTCCAGTGCCAAAAATCAGCAAAACCCGTGAAATTCTCCCTCCCTCATTCTGCTTCTACATATATTTTGTATTGCTCCTGAATTTTTGCAGTCTGCCTCTTAATTTTTTCCTACTTATTAAACTTTTCTTGGGTCTATAAGCAAAAATTTTCTAACCCTGGTTTAAATAATAGTTGCTACCCAGGAAGCAAGCATTTATTAATCAAAAGAACTGTCCTAGTCCTTTCTATTGACTCTTTAGAAGTAAATTATGGCCTACTAAAAGATGGTCTGCAAAAGACAGTGGAAGGTCTGGCTTTGGTCAAAAGGGTTGAAGTAGAATCTATCACATCCCCAAGGGTATCTCTGGGGAGGGAGTAATGCCATGAGCTTGGCTAAAGAGCCTGAAAACAGAACTAGGAATCCAGTGGCTTTGGGACAGATTCCCATGTGTCAGTATAATGCATGAGGCCTTAGAAGAACTGTGTTTTCTACTAATATACAGTGAGTGTATTGGTAAGGAGACTTGATGTATTATAAATACTGAAAGCTGTTTCAACCAAAGTTTGCTTCTAATCTGAGCTGTGCAATAGCCTGCTATGTCAATTTCTACTAATAAGCCTTAAAATGCTGTTAAAGATTTAGTGCTCTGATTTTTAAGTGGTTTTTTTTTTTTCACATTACTAACTCAATTATTTCTGACTCATTAAGGTCACCCACAAGAGGAAAAGCAAGAATGCTGTGACCAGCTGTTTCTGACTGCTAAGAGAGATCCTGAGACTGAAAGACGCACCATAACCCAGCTGAGATCTGAGCTCAATGAACTTAAAAAGACATATCAAGAAACACAAGGGGAAATGATGAGTTTAAATGCCTTACTGCAGTCACAACGGCTTGCTGAAATGAAGACTCAAGAAAATGAAAATACAATGAAAGAGAAAGCACAAAGACTAGAACAGGAAAATGAAACTATCAAAGAACAGCTCAGGGAAGAAAAAGAAAAGTCTGAAGATCTTTTATGTCAGGTAAGTGGATGGATTCGGAGGTTTGAGATCATTAGCAAAGAATTGAGAGAGATAAAAATTCACAGTTAATCAGAATGGACCATCTCTCTCTCTGGTACCTGTTCTTCACATAGATCTAGACTCATTCCTTGAGGTTAAAACTGAATTGTTTAAACATGAAACTTCTTTATCAATTTATTTCCCTAGTCTTAAGGGACACAAAAGAGAAGGGAGAAAATACTGAATTGATTCTAATATAGTTCATCCTTAAGACTAATAGTAAATGAGAACAAGAAAGCTAAAAAATCATTTTATCATGTGCTCCTAATTATGGAATACCACTAATATTTGCTGTCACCTGGCAGCTAAAATACAACTGATATTTGAAATATGAGAATAAAATTTACTAGACACCAAAGTAGGCCAAAAGCATAACAACACTTAAGCTCTCTAAAGACAGACTGGTTCTCACTGGTCAATAATGATTAAAATATGTTTATTTTATTTTATTTTATTTTTTGAAGCTGAACAACGGCATTATCGTAAAAGTTGATACATGCAGAAAGCAGAGAATATTTTAATGTATGCATTTACTTAATCATTATAGTATAGTACTTTCTCTTAAACTTGTTCTCTTATTTAAAAAAAATCACAGTTTGTTTTTATTAAGATAAAATATCATGTTAGTACAAACATAGGTTTTGGGAGTATATTTTTGTCAGCATCCTGGCAATCACCAGGCTTCCATTTTTTCTTTTTATAACAATAACATCATCCTGTATTCCCCCTTCTCAGTGCAATAATAATTTTTCACTAGGGTTTTCCTTGGGGAAGTAATGATTTGAATTGAGTTTGGTTCTTGCATAACAGGCACACATTTGCTGTTGGCATTGGAATGTAAGAGTTTGCTTCCATCTCATTATAAATGAATTCTTTTTAAGCTTATTAACTATTGTATATGAATGTTGTTTGTTACAAGTGTTCATCTGCCCTGTAGGTGCAGCTTCTTCGTAAATCATTGCTCAGACAGGAGGCAGAACACACAAGAATAGCTTTGTTGGAACAACAGGTAGACAATTATGTCCTAAAGTGCTGATATTTAATGTGTTAGTCACAGAGTCTTTCTAGACTAGCTTCACGTTTAAGAATTATTAGTATATCAAATAAAGTAATGCTAGACATGAATATTCAATTGCGCATAATCTCTTGATGCTTTCAAAAATTTTGACATGTCAGGAGGAAAACCTGTTACCTTGTACTGCTAAGAGGGTATGATCAAACCTGATGTTGTTTTCTCCACAATCACTTATTAAACAGGTAAAGCCTCAGATAAGGCACAGGAAACATCCTAAAACTAATCATCCAATTAAAGTTTAGCAATATATTTTTGATATACTTATAGAAATAATTGCATATTTTCTATTTTCTTTATTTGAAATCGAAACACCCTCCAATCAAAATAACTGTACCTCTTCTAAGGGAGATTTTAATAACTGGGGACATGTGAATTTCACTGTAATGAAAGCAACAGCAATTTTTAAATTTTCATTTAAATTTTCCTTTTAATCCCGTTTTAATATGTTATTGCAGAGTGAAACTGGCTTTAAATATATAAATGGGAAACATCCCTCCCAATTCATACTAACTTTGACTTTAAGTTCTCACTTTGTTGGGCTGCCAGATCCAGATATGTACCACAGACTTAGAGAACGGGAAGCTTGATCGCCACAACCTGAAGCTTGAGTTAAACCATGTTCTCAAGGAGCTGCGCAAGGCCAAGGAGAAAATAACCCGTCTGGAACCCCTGGTATGTACTGAATATTCAACTCACAGGTGAATTCAGTCAGGGATTTTGCAAAAACACACATCTTGCTTTGGGATCTTGTTTCAAACCCTGAGTAAGTGTCCCTGCATCCCTTATGTCTGTTTCCCCAGGTGCAGAGCCCTGTGCAAGGCAGGCAGGCGCTGCTTTGCTCTGCAGCAGGCACGGAGCAGGAGCAGTGCAGCAGCTCCAGAACAGGCAGGGTGCTGAGCAGGGAACACTCTGTACTCTCTGTCACTGTCTCAGCCAGTTTTGTCTGTTGCACCATGACAAAGATGCAATGTGCTGCCACTCACACATGTTGCTGGTGAACAGGGCACAGTCCTTAGTGCTGGAACACACCCAAGGCTTGTGTGCCATCAAGCCTTTAATATATTTTCCTACAGTGTTTGATCAGTGCATGCATGTCCCAGTCTTACAGTGAAGCTCCTCCTTTTCCAGAAACTCCGGGAATCTGGACATATGGAATCACAAGAAGACTTGCAAGCTGTATTTGACAAGAAGCTGACCACATATGACAGAAGTCCTCCCCTGAAACATTCCAGCTGCCTTGATGAAAGTTTTCTTGAGTGTCCCAGATGTAAAGTGCTATATCCAACAAGCCAGCATAGAGAATTACTGGCACACATTGACTTCTGTACAGCTTGAGCTCCAAATGGACTAACTATCTTTGCTTCATATATGCTGCCAATATGCCTGGCAAAAGATCTTTTAAAGCTTTTTTCTTGAAGTTGTATAAACAACTGCTGATTTTATAATTCAGTTCCACAAAAACAGTATTAACATTATAATTTGGCCTCAGTATTTTACCTCATGTTTTTGCAAAACAGCTACTGCATTTTCTAGTTGCAAACAGAAATATTTTTAGAGTTAAGAGTATTTTAAAGAGTAAACTACTGACGGGTTTTTTTTTGCACTATTAAATGTAGGAAATAGTAAAAGCACAATTACTGTATCAGACTATGTTTTAGTTTTGGCATACCCAGTTCTTGGTTGTTGAATCCTGATTATTGTGCTTGTACCTTAACTGACAAGAATAGCTGCAAAAGATTTTTGGCCCTCATAGGTGCACTATATATATATATATATATATTTATTTATACATGGTGTGTGTATATATGTGTAGTGTGTTTAGTATACACATACATGTGTTATATATCATATATATGTGGAATATATCACTATCTTGATACATAAAAACTCAGGAGGGCCATGTTAGATCTTTGCTGCTTAAGACTGATGTTCAAACCATCAATCTTAAGTAGCTGATTATCCTGAACCACCATCAGGGGTGACTAAAATGCTGACCAAGGTTTAACCTTAGAAAAACAAACTTCCTAGCAAACAAAAGCTTCCTTGGTGCAAAGAAAGTTTATATTTCAGACAATGTCAGAGGCCAGTTTTGAATTTTGCATACAGAATTATGCTAAATTAAACTTGTTTTGCTTCTGTGTGAAAGAGGTTAAAGTTAGGAAATGTCAGTTATTCAACCTTAGATTTGAAAAATGTCCCAAAGTGCAGCTTTTAACAAATTGCTGCAGTGTATTTGGAGTGTCACTAGTTATTTTGGTATTAATACAAAACACAAGTTAATGACAAATTCTGGCAACAAATTAGAAACTGGCAAAAAGAGTCCCTAATGGATTTGCAATTGCAGTGTTATTTTTCTCTAGCACTTACTGTAAACTTGAATGTGTTGTGAGTATTTTGTTCCTTGCATATGTAGTGAAGTCCCAACAAGAAGTTACTTCTGTGGAAATTATAAAAATGGAGAAATTTTACAAAGATGCACTAGTTAAGAATAAATCTGAGCATTTTACAAGTTTGTGGTTTGCTGAGGACACACAGGTACCCAAGGTGTTTCTTTCTCTGGCCTGCTGATTCTGATTGCTACCTGGTATCAGCTTTCTCCATTGTGCTTTGCAGCAAAACTACGCTTTTACCCATAATGTTCACCTTAAATCCCTGATGGTTAAATCTTATTCTTAAATATGAAGGTGTTTTCCAAGTCATTGAAAATAACTGGTAGTATCAACTGATGCTATTCTCAATTAAATCCAGTGCTCATGAGATAGAAAATACTAAAAGGTATCTTTATATCTGAAATATCTCTGCCAGATTTATTGTGTTAGCCATTCTCTATCCACTTTTCAATTTCACTGACTGTGTCTCAGGCTAATGTTTGTATTTGACAATTTGCTCAATTGCTAACAACAGATTTTCTGACCAAAGATATGATAAACTAATGAGTAAAACAGAAAGTGTGCTTCAGAATCTCAAGGTTTTGTTATGAGAGAAATTGTCTTAATTTCATATATTTTTAAAAATATTTTCATTCAGGATGATAACTATGCTTTTCATTACAACCTAATAATTTTAATCTGTAATTAAACTACTTTTAAAAGTTTAAGTTTGTCTTTGAACAACACCTTAATCAGCTAGTATTCTATTCTCAGCTGCATACTCAGCATAGTTTCTGCAAAAAGAAATCCTTATCTTTTATGTATTATAAATGAAATAGGTTTGCCTACTACAGGTCAGAGCTCTTCAGTAGTTCTGAGGCTTTCTTAAATCAGCATAAAACACTTCTGCATTAGAAACTGGTACTGTAGAGGGAGACTCAGAAAGTTCATAATGTGATAATGTTTAAAAAGTTTTGTTCATTCCACCTTTTCTGAGCTTTAACAATGGATTTAGTCCTACCTGATAAATTTTACTCCTAAGCACAAAAACTCCCTTGCTGATAAATTTTTACAGGTCATTATTGGGGTATCTGTTGCAAAATACCAACATGACATTCCAGTGAAGTAAAACACTTTGAAAGCAGACCCACAAATACTATTGTCATCACCTACATGTAATTAAAACCAACTATAAAACCCCAACTTCATAAGGTATGCAAGTCATAACACTACTTTTTTTTCCATTACTTAGAAAGAAATCTCAGAAATTTTTTTCCCTCAAAGTTAATGAAGGAGATTGGCTGCTCCTCTCTTTAGTTATATGTGCAGAAGAGAAGTTTGTGCCTAACTTGCTCACCTTACTGGTAAGAATTAATTAGCTGTCAGTATAGATCTTGCTAAGGCAGGAAGCAACAGCAGTGTTTTCATTACTTCAAGCACGTTGGGTTTACAATTTCAGGAGCCTTTTTCTGTTATGTCCCTTTCAAGTAATTGAATTTCAACCTACCAGGAAGACTGCATTTTTGAAGCTGCTGATTTAGGGAAGCTTGGGGGCTAATACAATGGTTTACCAAGAGTAGTGTATTTATAAATCTAGCTTTCACACTGTTCTTTTTAAGCAAATTAAATGGTTTTGATGCAACGCTGGGTGGCTGGAAAGACAGCTAAAACTCCCCATTTTTTTTTTCTATAAGAAGAGCTGCTTGTGAAATAAAAACTGAAAGATAGCTCTGTTGTTTTTCTTAGATCCATGAATCAACTTGTAATACTCTGCTTGCTTGTGTAGCTTTTAGTCTCAGTTTTGATAACAATCTTTCACAAGGTTATCTTAATTTTTAGTATAAAAAGAAAAATTCAGACTAATATGAATGTAGTAGAAGTCTTTCAGATTTTTGATCAAATTCATGGAAGAGGCAGGCTTATCCAGTCTAGAAAAAAACATGAAAAATTACAATTTCATACAGAGGAAAGAAAAATAAGTCTTCTAGTGCTCAATGAAAAGAGTAACATGTTCAAAATTGCAACAGAAAAGGAAAATCTTTCCGGTGGTAGGAGCAGATGAGCAGTGAAACCCATTGCTTACAGCGGCCGTAAAATCACCACCACTGGAGATTTATGGGGACACTTATGTAACTACCTAAACCATCCCTGACAGGCAAGGCTGCCTTGGCTCAGGGACTTCAGCCACTGATTTCTCACAGTGCCTTGAAGCCCTGTTTTTTAATGGCACATAAAGACCTGCAAGAAAAAAAGACACAATAAGATTTAAATAAAAAAAACACAATGGTCATGCACTGACTCTTCATCTTCTTAAGCATGTAGTGTTATTTCACTACATGCTAAATTAGTAGCTACTGTACCAGAAGTCATTAAAACAATGTAATCTCATATTTCTCAACTGGAAAATTACTAGGTATTCCTATGTCTGTATGAACTTCTAGTCTAAGCAGACATAAAATACCATAAAATACTGCTTCAAATCAATACTTGCACTCATGCATCACTATCCTGCTGAAAAACAAGATAAATGACATAAGCACAAATTGATGTCACTTAATTCCTGATTATTGGGAAGTGCATCATTCCCATATTGTTTTAACAAACAGCACCACGGTGTCTGGTTCTTTGGTATTTGGGGTCTTTAGCCTTCCCTCCATAAGGTGCTCCAGGTAGAGAATTCAGAAAGCTGGTGTCCTGAGTGGGAGCAGGCCAAGCAGCCAGTGAGAAACATGACTGCTCTAGAGGAGTCACAGATGTAAATTCTCTTCTAACATTGTCAGTGTCAAATGCGTCCTTTGCAAAAAAAGCAGACTTCAAATAGGACATGTATCCATGAAGTGAGATTCCCCTCATACCCTGTCCTCATTCAGACCTGGAACAGAGCTCCCCACCAGCATTTAGGGACAGATACTCATCTGGTGGTCTCTATGACCAACCAGAATTTTCAGTATTTTATACTGAATTAATAGTTTCAAAAAGATAGATAGACCAAGATAAGGTGCTTCAAAATATTCTGTAAGAAAGAAGCCTGGGACCTTATGGTGATATCCAGTTGGCTTCTTGATAGAAGTGCAACCAGGTTTAATTTCCCTCATAAATTCAAAACTGGTGAATGTGCACACTGTGCCAGTGAAAGTGATAGTTTGGTCCATGTAACAAGCTTGATAGGATCAGTGCTATCTCATGCAACTAGGCAGAAAACTCTACAGCCTAATTAAGGCGTCCATGCTTTTCAGACTCAGTTTATGGGAAGCTCCAAGTCACATCTTATCAGTCATCTCAAACGGCCACTGATAATGAAAACCATAAACAGTGTGGGAAATAACATGATTACCATTACATTAGGGAAGGCAGAAAGGTTTACAGCAGAATTTAAAGCATTATTTGAACTTTCATTGCTTTTGCAAGATTGATTTTTCTGTTTCTCCAGCCCTAGCTTAATGCTAGCTAAGGAGAAGCCTGACAATATAGACAATCTTTGCAGCCGACAGGCACTGTAGACCTTCCTTCAGAAAGATGTGGCTTTTAAAAGTAAAGCTGCTCTCCCAGTTTGGAGCTGAAGAACCCCAATATGTTACTCTTCTAAGATGAGACATCAGGGAAAGAAAAAGGATGTTTCTCCTTAAACTTCATGAATAAGAGCATTGTCTACTCCCTGGATTCTTGACAAGGAGAGGAAACAATGGTGTCTGTGATCTCTGCACAGCATACAACCCAGCAGACCAGTGTGTTCAGGGAATGTCTGAGTACATCTCCTGAGCGTGAGAAGCTGGTGACAAATCTAGTTTGTAAACCCTTCAGATGTTCACCACAGCTTTTGTTTTGATGTCTTTGCATCAAAGATCATTAGCAGGAATGTAAGTAACTTTATGCACACCTTGGCACTTTAACATCCAACTCTGCAAAAACCTCATGCAGGGTCTCAGTTCCTTGGTAAGAGTGTCCTACCAGATCCTGCAATGTCCAAACAAACCAGTCTGACACTCTGTATTCACTGATAAACTCCCTAAATCCACAGACATGATGTGTAAGTGTGATAGTTTGTAAGACTGTTAAGAAACAACTTCATTTAGTTAGTTTAGCTGGAGCTGACTTACTCTGCTGAACCTTGGTTATCATGCAGCAAAACAGAAAATGTGACCATCCAGGGGAAGTCTATGTTACACGGATTATGTTCTTAATTTGCATTTGGTTCAGAGAGAAATCTCTTCCTCACTGTGAGCCACAGTGCTGATGCTGGCAAACTTCTGGTGGTCTTGATGACTGGAAGCTGACCCAGCTTTTATTAGAAAGCACATCTGACAGCATTATTGGCACTCTGCTTTTGGCTGAGGCCTTGATTAGTAATGCTGCTGCTACAGCTTGAAACTACAGCTCCACTGGCACTTATCCCAGGAAGTGTGCCAGCTTCTAATGGGTACTGACTACAGCAAAATGAGACTTCCCAGAAGAAACAGTGACTTGTGTCCAAGAAGAAACAGGAATTCGTTTTTCACGTGATAAGTGAAGCATCTAGTTATTTTCAGTGGACACAGGAATGTGTGAGCTCGCTACTGTATGTAAACAAACCGATGCATTGATATTTGCACTAAAAGTTTAAAATTGTCCCTCAAACATTGGTGTAAGCGCTTCAGCTCACTGATATGAAAGTATAAAATGGGTGAGCAGTTAGAAAACTTCCTAAAAAACAAAATAAATCAAAACAGACTTGTAGTTGAAACATACCTCACAATGGTAGAACATCTTCTAAGCACAGGATTCATAGTATCTAGAAGCAGAACAGCTGCAGTGTAATATGTAAGAGCAAAAATGAAAATAGAAAGCTCACCTTGGTTGAAACTTATGATAAAAATCTTATTGTGCAAATGCATGAATCATCTACAAGCTTGCAACATCTCTTGTGAAGACAAAGAGACAATCTTTCTAATGAAATGAATTTACATCACTTAGCAAACATTAAATGTGCAATACATCTGTTACAGGAGTCAGTGCTATTTACCTAGTGTGATACAGGTGCACAAAAATACACCCAAAGACTTAAAACACCGATCTACATGCAAGAAGATGCATAAATAAGGCAAAAACCTTTACTAAACCATGTCCAAATGGAACAAAGAACTCCCATCTCCCAGAGTCACCCATTAAGTGGTCCCTTTCTCTGGGAATATTTCTTAATGCTCAAGATATAAATAAGCTGATCGATCCCCATCTGTCACGACAGTTCATGGTTGCCAGGGGAACAATCTGAAAAGCAGAGCTTGACTAATGGTATCAGGTAACACAGCCCTTATCTGAAACAGAGAAGGCCAAACCTTTGGCTTTCATTAGGGATGAAGAAAACACCCATGAAAAAAGAAACAAGATTTTTTCCTGCTAGGTTAGGCAAACCACCTCCACAGAGGTGTCTGCAGCTTTCATTTAACTTAGAGCAATGAAATCTGAGCTGACTCCATGTTTGAGCATAAAAGCAAACATAGCTTACAAAAATTATATAGGTTAAGCAATCATAACAGGTTTCCAGCATTCTGGTAATCACTTCCTTGTCATGAGCACGTGGTGCACATACCACACGCAGCATCCACCTATTACAGTAAAGCCAGAGTGGCTCTGTGGGGGTTACAACTCCTCTCTTCCTCACATTTCATGTTCTGGTGGTTGCTATGATTAGACCTACCCAACAGCAAATACAACTTTTGTACCTCATGGGAGGGAAAAGAAAGTTGCTCTTTCAGATAATGGATCCATTAGACCCAAGAGTAATCTGACAATTTTTGCTCCTGCAAGGAGCTCCCACTTGTTTGATCAAACCTGAGGGAAACCAGCTTGTTTCTTCACACCTCTGCTGTCCCCAGGCACAGGATTTTGTACACAGGTCAGTGTGAAGTTCACTCACTAACTAAAAGCAGCACTTTGGGTCTCCTGAGCAAACAACAGGCTTATGCCAAGTAACTCACACCTAAGGACCAAAGCTAAAGGTGGTCCTTTCTAACAAAGATCAAAGATCTACCCAGACACTTCCACACATCATCTCATCTTCAAATCTTCTTCTCTTCTGGCACTCCTTTCCTTCCTGACTAAAAGTATCTTAATTTCTTCAATAATGCAGCTTTGTATGATTCAGTTCCTGTTTCCTTTCCCCTATATTGTTTCAAATATGTTTACTTTTACTCTGAATTGACAGGGCCAGTTTCTAATTTAACTTTCCACTAATGTCAAAAGGGCTAAATATTTTATTCATAATAAAATTTGCATTTATCTGTGCTACCATTTCCAGTTGCCTCACCTCTGCTCCCCCTGTCCTGTTAATGCCTCCCAGGTTTTCACACAGGTACAACCAGGCTATTAACAATGGCTCTTTCCCAAACCCCTGCCATTATTTAGAGCTGACCACACCACTGCTACTGCCAGCTGCCCCGAACTTTGGGGCTAGTCTGTCAGCTTGTAAAATGTCCCAGGCCTGTGAGGTTGTGGCAACTACAGGGTGTTGCTGTATTTCAAGATTCACAAATAATTTTAAAGAATCAGTTCATAGCAGAGCCAAAATAAATTGTGGCTAGATATGCCAAGCATTGATCAAAAATGTTAATAAAAATCACTAGGTCTATTAAATTTACTGAAATTTTTGTAATATGGATGCAGATTTTTTTCCTCCCATCAAATGATGTAGGATAAAGTATCTATATTGAGACACTTGGCATTCACTTGTGTTGCTTTCTGAAAAAAAGACCCAATCTTTGCAAGTTTTCTTATTGTTTTCACTTGACTTCATAGCCCATCCCCTTAACAGGAGATGTTGTGCCCACATTTCATACGGTCATCTGTCAGCAGGAGCCAGCAGGAACATTTCATACACCTGTTTAGGCTGCCCTGCAAACTCCTTGTTTGATGAGATGGCATAGATAGTTAGAACCACTAACTGAAATAATTGCTAATTGAAATAAATGCAAATTCTGCACAGGCAAAGACGTGGGAAGCAGTCCACAAAAGATGTCACTCTTGTCATCCCTCATTAGGAGATTGCCCCTTCAAAGGACCAAGTTTCTGGAATCCCCACTAATCTGGAATCCCCGCTAATGCTGTTGCGTAAATGGTTGATGGCAGGGTCACACCCAGGGTAGTGCAGAAGCACTGCCTGTCACCTGCTCCCCGTGGCACTCCGCTTTTGTGCTGCACACACGTGGAATCACTCTCACCTCATCAAACGGTGTAGGTCTACACGCTGAGCCTCTAAGTGCACCCTTGAGCGCTGCACTGGCACTCAGCCAAATGAATTCACCCAGCCTGAAGTTATACAGCTGTTTACATACTTTATGAAAACATTTTATCTTCTTTTATGAGACATTATCCGCCTGTCTGTGACAATTTGCGTGCTTCACCCCCAGCCAATTTCTAAATCATCTGAAGTGAAGAGCCTAAGTGGAAAGCCCTACTGTCATTTACAATCTGAGCAACTGCTTCTAGTAATTGAAGTTCAGAGAAAATAAGGTATTTTCTAGGTTTGTCTTACTTTAACAGGCTTCTCCATCATGAACTCATAACACCAGCGAGATTCTAGATGAATTTCATAAAGAGATCCCCAAAATCACATTGGTGACACTTCTCCACAATTAGGACAAGCAATGCACAGGTCTGCTGTTTCCAAAAGCCACTGTCAATACAGGAGGCAATAGTTAAATTTCTCTTTTATTTTCTTTTTTTTTTTTATTTTTACCCTAGATTAGTCTGGTCATCCAAGGCTCCTGAGGAGAGCTCTCAGAGTGGTGGGGCAGCCATCCCTGTTTCTAAGCCATGCATACTCCATTGGATGGGAGCAAACTGAGTGGCCTCCCAGGGTCACTGGCACCCCAGGGGCCTGCCTGGGGAGCCGAGCAGGCTAGGGCTGGCACTCGATGAGGTGGCTGGGCCTGGCCATGGTAATGGCAGCGTGCTGACCCACACCCTGCCCAGGGAGGTGTCGGGCAGCCCCTCACTGCCGCCCCACGCACCGCGGCCTCGCCTTTGTGTGAGCTCCACCGTGTTTACTCTCGCACTTCCTTGTTCCACTGCAGTGCGAGGGCCATAAACCGCCCAGCTGGCACGGCTGAGCCCTCGGTAGCAGGGACAGGAGGAAGAGGAGGGAGGGGGATGGCGGTCATGCCCTGGCTCTGTGCTGGAAGGGCACCCCAGGTGCCGCCGTGGTGGTTGGGAGCGCAGCCCTTCCTCTAGGGCTGGTGCCACCATCCCCGGTGCGTCTCTCATGCCCACTGGCCACCCTCATGCCCGTGTCCAGGGGCACACCAGGATGGAATAAGACCTATTTCCCCTTCTTCTCGGACTTCAGGGGCCACAATGTGACGGCCTTGCGCATCGGCGAGTCATGTGCCCTGTCCTTCATCTTCGTGCTGTCGTTAGCGGGAAACATCTGGGGCATCTGCCTGCTGGTGAGGCGGCACCGCCGGCTCTGTGCCGCCAACTGCCTCGTCCTCAACCTCTTCTGCGCCGACCTGCTCTTCATCACTGCCATGCCCTTCATCGCCGTCGTGCGCTGGACCGAGTCCTGGGTGCTGGGCAACTTCGTTTGCCACCTGCTCCTCTATGTGGTGAGCTTGAGCGGCACCGTCATCCTCCTCTCCCTGTCGGCCGTCAGCCTGGAGCGCTTCGTCAGCATCGCCCGGCT